AAAAAAAAAGAATAAGAAATGAATAAAAACAACATGACAATACAAATCAATGACGATAAAATAAAACAAGCAAAATAAATATCAATACCGTGATGATGATGATGGTGAAATAAAATAAAATAAAATGAATTTAAAAACCTAACATAAAACAAAACAAATAAAAAGGCAAAGTTGAAACGAAAAGCATGTTTCAGCATGGAGAAACCCATCATAGACATATAATAAAATAATGGCTGCGCAAAGATAGCATCATTTTCATTTTTTGATATCTTTTCATTTCTTTATACTTTTTTTCACTTTTTCTTTCCCATCCTATTTCATTTAATTCTGATCAATCAGTGACGTCATAGAAACCAGTCCCCCTCGTCCTGTCTTTAATTCTCCAGGGAGTTTCGCGCGTTCTTAGCAACTCGAATTCATAACAAAATGGATTCTAATCTGAACAAAGAATGCCTCAAAAAAGACTTAATAATGGCCTAATAACAAACAATGGGACTTGAGTGGATGTCTTGATCATTCATTAATGACAAACGCTTCGTAAAGCTCGTGATTTTCAGAGAATTCTTTCACACTGTCAGACAAAAAAAAAACACACGACTGCTCACTTTGAACATGGAGTTTCTTTTCAAGGCGATAATTCTAATTCATGTAGCCAGCTTCTGACAAGAATTAGGGAGTTTTTGGTTTATTAATGTTGCCGTCTTTACAAAGTTCTACCAAGGCAATTTCGACAGATGAACCTCGAGAGAAAAAGGCCAAGAAATATCGTAGAAAAACAGAGAAAAGCAAAAAGAAACCCCAAGGAAAGTGTTCCTTCTTACCAGATATTAACCAGGGTTATCTGAATTCGAGTCAATGGGAAGAGCGAATAATAGAAAGTCGCAGCATGAGGCCTTCAAAAACACGGGTAAGGGTTTTATTTAGATTATATTTTTCGTTTTGTTTGTAAGTATTGAAGTATTGTAGCTATTCTTATGCTAATGTACTAGTAGGTTATCAGTCCAACCCCCGCGGGGGGGGGGGGGGGGGGGGGGGGGGCAGGAGCTGTTATTTGTCTAGCCTCTCCCCCAACAGCAATCTGGATTGTGTAGTTTAGAAATCATCCCGCCCCCCCTCCCCCCCAACCCTCCACACACGCACACACACAGAGGATTTTTTTAAAGACCCCTAGTACCCCCAGACACTCTCTGTAATTTTGTTCTTTCTCCAAACCCCGACCCCTTGGAAATTCCAAATCCCTGCAGTGGGATATGGATAATTTCTGGAAAGCTACACATTGGTCAAACCTGCCAGACACCTTCTGTCATGCCAAAATTAACAAGCTTTTATCATAACATATCTTCCAAAGGTAAAGCAGAGAGGAGGGGGATTTAGAGAATACATAAACCCAAACTTACCAGACACCACAAGGTATTTGAATTTACTTTTATTTTATTTATTTAAACTGGAGTCCCATTATCTTGAACCTCCAGAGAACCAGGAAAAAGGTTCAAAATAACAGGAGTGTGAAATGTCCAGGGTAAAATAATTAGGCATTCAGAGATGGAGGAATAGACTGGGTTGCATTCATTACAATTCATTGTGGGAATGTTTTAGGGTACATATTTCCCAGATGGCATCTATTTGGTCTTGGGAGAGCCTATGTAGCAAGCAATTTGATGTAATGTTTTCATAAAAATACAATGAACTACAATGCCAACTTGACCCAGGCTCTCACTCAACCTTGGGATGGCTAATCGTGATGCAAGTCATGATGGGAAGCAGCCTCAAGTTTGAAATAATGGGAAGTTTGGGGTACCCAGGCTTTGATTAGTTTGGGGCTTGAGATAACAAGATTCCACTGTAGTTATAAATAAATATAGTTTTTTATTTAATTAATAAGTATCTTTTACATAACTATGTCCAACTAAGCCTTTTACGACTCTTGTTGAGCCATGTAACTTTTATCATATTTTGAAAAAGTATTTATTATCTTTTACATAAGTACTAATATGTCCAATTAAGCATTTTACAACTCTTGTCAAGCCTAATAGCCCACTTCCAAAATATGCTTCACTTGTCACGCACAGGGGTTTTAATGCATAAGGCTTTGTGCATAATATTCAGTGATTTATCAAAGGAGAAAAGAATAAATTTAATTTTGCACGTAGCCTTGTACTAAAATCTTTGTGTGTGACAAGGAAAACATATCTTAGAAGTGGGCTATTCCAACCTATATGGTGTAGCTATTGGCTTTTTAAGACGTATGGTTGGGAAAAAGTCATTACTTTATCATCACAACTCCTTCATTTTTGGAACTTCATCCCCTGAATTGCAAATGCTGATATTTTACTTTGTTATAAAAGCTCTACATGCAACCATTCTCAAAGAGGGTGATTGTTTGAAAAAGTGTTTTTAAATTACTCTGATTAAGGTGGCTGCCTACTTTTGAATGTTCGATTTGAGCCCACGATGTGCGCGCGCTCGAAAACCGCTGAAAAATCTACAAGATTTTATTGAAGAACCATAAGCGTTTTGAGCTTCAACAGGGCAAAACCCTCAAATTTTGCACGGGACTCTATATTTTTTGATATAAAGTGATGGCACCTTACAGTATTGTATTGGTGTTAAGCAATTTGTTTCTAGACATCATTTGGCATTTTAAAATTATTAATCTTTTAATGAGCTTGAAGTAATGGAGATATTAATACACTAATAAATACTGAAGATTGTAAAGGGAATTGCACCTGTCAATCAACAAAATACAATATAAATTCATCTCATTCTACAAGCCTAGAAAAGCTGGCAATATATTGTTTTCTTTCCTTTCCACTTTCGAAAATAATCACTTATCAAGTGATCCATTATGGAGCTATTGCTATCTTATCTTTGCTTTCAAGTTTCACATTCGATTCATGCGCTGAGCAGCTGCGGCAGCACCCATTCCAACTACCATTATATTCTGGACCCCTATTGAATTTGGCACCCCCGGCGCAAGTTCTTCGCCTTCTTCATATATGCAATAAGGTGCAAAACATGAGCAGGCCGTTGGGCAGGCAGGACAACAACTCCACCATTGGAAGATGAACGACGTTGAAGTAAAGATTTTCAGAAACATGAGGACCGCAATAACGGCATAAATTGCCTTTAAGAAGCCAATTTCTTTATCTGTGAGCTCTACAAATTCCTTTTCCTTCAAGATGGCAGAAAAAATTCCAATCATGAAGAAAAATATATTCATAACCATACTGAAAGTTGCAAAAGTTCTCATCACCATCAACGTGCGTAAAGGATGGGTAAGGGTTGACAGCTTCCACATGAAGTAAAGTGCAACCCCAGTAGAGAGGCCATCGCACACTGCACATGCCCAGGAGACTCCAAGAAGTGGGTTCTTGATGGCAGCGGGGAGGTAGTGCTTCATCATTACTGCGGCAACTATGGTGAAGACAATCATGAACAGAGAAAGAACTCCATGAACTATGACGTATCTTTTACCTCTGGTTGTGTTCACTTTTCCAAAATGTTTTCCAAAGTTTCCTGTTTGGTACACATGTGTAAAGTCATCAGAAGGACTTGCTGGCGGTCCAGTTATTGTACTTTGAGGTGGCACCTGTCCAGGTGTCTGTCCAGGTGTATAGCCTTGTGCAGGTGCTGGTGTCTGTCCAGGTGTATAGCCTTGTGCAGGTGCTGATGTCTGTCCAGGTGCATAGCCTTGTGCAGGTGCTGGTGTCTGTCCAGGTGTATAGCCTTGTGCTGGTGTCTGTCCACCAGCTACATTTCCCTGTGGAACTTGTTGATTGGTTGCCTGGTTGGTTGGTTGCATCTTGCCTCGTAAGTTTTCTCTATTAGATGGCTTTTCTAATATGAAAATGTTTTGAAACATCTAATAAGCTGCTTTATCATCACTATGACCAATACTGTGACCTTCACTGTCATCATCATCATCATCACCACCACCATCATCATCATCATCCATCATTATCACCATCATCATCATCATCATGCATCATCAACATCATGTATCATTATCATCATAACATCATCGTGTATCATCATCATCATGCATCATCATCATCATCGTCAAGAATCATTATCATCATAACATCGTGTATCATCATCATCATCATCATGCATCATCATGCATCATCACCATCATCATGTATCATTATCATCATCATCATGTATCATCACCATCATCATCAACGACAAAAATAGAATTTAATAAAAACTTTAGTACTGTTAACCATCCTTATTCACTAGAGTAATTAAATCTAACAATTAGAATATAATTATATAATCATAAGTTTATATAATCTATCTTTGATAGAGGTTAAAATTCAAAGGAAAATTTTTCTTTTGAATTTCATATTATGTGCTAAGGATGTTCGTTCATTTATAATTGATTTCATATTAGCCAAACATTTCTGCTTTTGAGCTAAGTCAGCTGAAGACAGTTCAAATGTTTCAGTACCTAAAGATCAAATAAGACTGCGATCGTTTTCCTGTGTTGAAAACTTAGCTAAAAGGCCCTCCCTTTGTTAAAAGCCAAATTCCAATTTCATCTATGAGTTACCCGTGCCCTAACTCGTGTATTTTCACGTCATATTATAGCCTTTATCCTCTATTCATTTATCGTAATTTAACATATTGTAATGTTTTTGCTTTGCAAACACGAGCCTGCCCCGATTAGCTGTGCTATTTTACGGGCTCATATATTGGCTTATATATTGTGTTAAATTTTATGAAATAAACTGTAAACAATAAAAATTGTAAAATTTGTTAAATTGGTCAAATTTGAAGGTTTTTTGAAAGGACCCATTACCAATTTAAACTATAAGCTGCACTTCGATTGCACGTCACTGTTCAACCAGTGCATTACTCCTCTTATCGTGATTTCAATTCAGAATGCGTTTAGCAAGAAAGCCGCAGTGTGATAGTACTAAATTTCCACATTCGAAACTAATCCTACAGACACCATCAAAAACAACAAGTCTTTTTTCCCTACCTAATTTTGCTCTGCTTTCACTGAACTTCAGTTGTAAGCTCTTTGACCTTCGAAACTTTACGACAATATTAATGTGATCGTATGTGTCGGAATCTGAAATATTTTGCAATATTTTTATTTCCGCTGAAACGAAGAAGAACCAGAGTTGGATAAAACGTGCTTAGACGAAACGCAAGAAGGCGCAAACGACATGACTAATTGCATGTATCACGTACGCCTCTTAATATTCTTAGCACGCTCCACACTGCTTACCTAATCATTGAATGGCATTACGTCATTATATCAATCATAAAAATATCGAAATAAAAGGCTTTATTAGCTTCTTGACCTCTATAACGTATTCTTTTTGCCCTGAAAATAACTAATGCCAAGAAAGATGTGGAAATACCCTGCTGGCAGAAAGTCTTTTTAATTTCTCCCGAGGGAGAGAACTGATTAAATGGAGACTCTGTCAGCAGGATAGTCTGAAAAATGAGAGGGGGAAAAAAAAAAAGAAAAACTGACTTTGAGAAGAACAAACGGAAATGGCTTCACCGGTAGTAGAATCAACCGGAAGTTCAACTGGAAGTCAAAGAAAAACCGGAATAGAATTCCTTGTCACGAAAGTGGCTTGTCACGCAAACTAAGGTACCCTAGCAAGGTACTCGTGAGAAACGTTTCTTTCGCTTTCGAGATTTTTGTATTTTAATTTGCTTCAGTGACTAATAGAACTCTTTTTCTTGGGGCTAATGTTTTCCCATTTCAGACAACGTGTCATTCTCTTGTGAATAAGATTCCTTGTTTGAGTTGATATCCATATTCATGAGTTATTCATGTGTCTTCTCATGCCTGCGCAACCGTTGAAAAAAAGAAATGATACTCTAGGACCCCATTCACACCAAGGCTTGAACATGTTTTAAAGTGGTTTAGCTAATCAGGTTTGAAAAACTATCTACGAACACTGCACAATCTTTGGTGAAATAATGCATGTAAGCTATCCTTTGTCTTGCTCTGATAATATTTTAGAAAGTTAGATTATATTGTAGGTTTCTAGTTTCTCAATTTTTTTCCTAATGAAAAGACAGTTCAATTAAACACGTTTAGGTGTGAATGGGGTATCTGAGGGAATGACGCGTGTTCTGAAATGTGCATAACATTACAGCCACGGTTAAAGGGTCTATTAACATCATTAAATCAATATTTTCCATATTTTCCAAGTATAAACTGGGCCACTGTGTAACGTGACTCTTGCATTACATTCTTGCGTCGTTTCGAGATCCTAGCTTCGTAGCATTGCCTCACACAGAATGCTTAGCACAAAAAAACAACACCCTCCAATATTTTCTACATTACAATAATCACACGAAGGACAACAACGAGTTTCAGGTCGTCTTGAAGGATAACGTCGTGGTTTTACATTAGTTTGTCGAGGATTCAAGCACGCTCCATAGTTACGTGCGACTTCTTCATCTTTTTCTTCAAACCTAGATGTCATTAGAGGAGCTCTATCGGATAGAGGTTCATTTGTTAATATAGGTCCATGCTCAAGCTGTTCAGGGCTTTCTTTTGCAGCTTCACCATTAATTTTTGCAGATTCAATACCTTGACCATTGATATTTTCAGGTTGAAACATTTAGTTGGTTCTCGACGTCTTCCAAACTCTTTCCAATTAAGCTATTTTTGAAAAGACAATTTGTAAAATTAAGATCAACGGAAACCTTCAGATTTTATCGATACCATAGAATAATCTCTGGGCTGATCGACGTCAGGGTACATTTAACCCACAGATCTATCGCAGATCCTCAATCTAGGATTTTTGAGATCATAGGGGAGTGACTCTCTCTAAGTCCCGTCGGGCTCGGTGTCGTATGTGAGTAGAGTTGTTTGTTGGTTCTCTCCTCATTTCCGAGGGTTTTCCGATTTCTCTAGTTTTCCTCCCTCCGCAAAAATCAACTTCTAAATTCCAATTGGAATTCAGTGGAACAAGAGCCACTCTGTGGAAATGCCACTATTAAATCCCATTATTATTATTGTTATAATTATTATTTTTACCTATGCGATGATGACTCCAGTGCAAAGGAACTTTTTATTAGAGGAAATTTTGCAACAGTTTCACTTCCGGTGAGATTATCGTGCAAACGAAAATAATAAACGTGCTGAGACTAAGAACAACATGTTGAAATCGAAGGGTTAAGCTATTTATGTTAAGACTTTAAACGTCAGTTGCGTTGCGCAATAAATCTATTCTTTTTATACTGGTTAACACGATCTCGTACCCAAAGCCTTTATTTCTTAATGCGCATGCTCGACGAAGTAAAAAATTAAGGCTTTATTGTACGAGATTGTTTTAACTCCAGAGAAAATKAACTAAGAGAAGGAATCCCCCCTACATAGGCTTGTAACCATCATGTGCACAGTTTGATTCTCTTGGTTAACTAGTAATAAGATGTCATATTGGAAGACGTGTCCAAGCGTGGTCGGACTATTAAAGACGTCTACACTGCTTCCTCTCAGGGCGGCTTAACGTCAAGCCCTATAACACTATGACGTCACATCAAAACAATCTATTGTTTTAACGCTAAGGATCATGGTCGCCAGAGGAGGCAAAATAGCAGCAAAACGAATTAAATCACAATAAAAAATGGTTAATTAGACTGGGAAAGGTGATAACAGATAAATGTTGTACTAAATATCCCGAACGAAAGAAAATTTCGCCTAAATTCCTATCATTCTTGCCCATGTAAACAAGCTGTGACGTCATAATGTTATAGGTCAATTCGTGACTGATTATTTTCAGTAGCACACTTGTTTTCGTTTCTCCTTGACTGAAGATCCTTTCGTTTCAGTATATTTAACACGATACCATAGTTAACTCACTGATAGAACAGCCAAAAGCATCACGTTATAAGGACAGCTCCAATCGTAGGAAGTTGACGAAAGCCATTATGTCACAAACTCGTCCTTTTCAAGTCACGTATCACACGAAAACGATCGTCATTAAGCTTCCTTTTCTACGTATTTCATAAATGAATTAACATAAATATATTAGTAGTATCATTTTTCAGGGGCAGATCCAAGAATTTGTTCAGGGAGGGGTGCAGCGCACATAGTTAACCCAGGGAGGGGTGCACCCCTTAGAATCATGCAAAGGGAAAAAATATTATTTTGTATTGCTTTACTCTTTGAATTAGGGGCACAAAGTCGAACCAGGGAGGGGTGCGCACCCCCTGCACCTCTCCCCTGGATTCGGCACTGTTTTTTATCATTAATTTGTAATCAAAGCGATTTATTTATACTATTCATTAATCATTTATCAATATGATCCATAAATATGATCCCTTTATACTTTCATAGTTATGGTGGCTATGGTAATCTAAGAAAGATAGCAAGTTTCAAGACATCGGATCTGCCGCTGGACTCACTCGGCGGCAAAAACAGGGGATGGAGTTTACAAAACCCTAACCCTAGACTGATGGTAAGGCTGCACTTGTCTTTATAACATGATGAGCTCTAACCCGAGACTTCCATTCATCCGTTCATCCATTAATTTTCATTGTTCATTTTCCTAGAACCTTCAAAGACTGACCGGCCGTTTCCAAAAGGATGAGCCCTTTGCATACGGGTAAGAGACTTTTCCCGTTATGAACCAGTAAACTTCTAGTAGGGAGGGGTGAGACTATGATCTAATGACTTTCCTCTAGGGAGAGGTGAGGTTACAATATAGTGACTTTCCTCTAGGGAGGTGTGAGGTTACAATCAGGTGACTTTCCTCTAGTAAGGGCTGAGATTACGATTTAGTGACTTTCCTCTAGGAAGGGGTGAGGTTAGGAACCAGTGACTTTCCTCTAGTAAGGGCTGAGATTACGATTTAGTGACTTTCCTCTAGGGAGGGGT